CTCAAACACTAGATTGTATACTTTTTTTTTTCTTGGGTCACGCACTAAATTGTACACTAAAACACTCAATTATTATGTATTTCCGCGGTGTAGATAAGAATTAGTTATAAAGTGAATTAGTTGATTATGATTAATTTATTTTTAAGAAAAAAGAAAACCAAATGAAGAGATACATTATTAGAGAAGGAAACAGGGATTGTGTGTTGGTTTGACGGTAAGTAGGTGGAACCAAAAAAAAACGTGAGAGAATGAGTCCATCGGTTTATTGAACCACGAAACCACATGCCTCAATTGGTAGGTGTGTATGACTTTACATAGATGTTTTTTTTTTATTACTAAAAAATTATGGAATAAAATTGAAATTGAGTTTCGATAGGATTTTTTTTTTAATGATTCTGTTGATTTTAGATGAATTTAGAGAAGGTTGGACCCAAAAAATTGAATTTACAGAATTTGTAATAATTTTTCAAAAATTTGATAAAAGTAAGAACAAAAACATCTTACAGAAGAATCCTTATTATTAACACTCCTAAAAATAAAATTACAAAGTATATTCATTTAAATAAAGATAGAAGCAATCTAAGTTTTCTAAACTAAAACAAAGATAAATGGATATTAAATAGGTAAATTGGCTCAAATATCCATCAAACCATTTAATTAGCTCTACGACTATAACAAGGCTTGGTCATGATACTACGTGTATAAAGCATAATAATACCGAAATTCCCCCTTTCACATACACATTCAGAATTGTTTCTTTCACGTACACGTGTCTGTCTTTTTACACTTCTTCTTCTACCTTTCTCTCTCTTTTTCTTTGTTCTTTGTATCTCATTTTTTATCCCATCTCATTTGATTTGGTTTATATCTTCATATATATATATATTGATTTGATGTTGTTACCATACTAAAAAAATCTAGATTTCTCAACGGATATATTGTGATTTGGATTTTTTTAAACGGGTATAAATCAATCAAAAATAATATATAAATGTAGCTAGTGATACATCATTCTATTCTATATAAAACAAACATAAATAGAATAAAATGTTATTGTTGATTTAGTTACCAAATAATATTTTTTTGTAACTTGTCAAAATAATTTGAAAG